TCGCTACCGGAGATTTGGAAAAACACATAGAGAACTACAGCAAATAAACGACGCATATATGCGTCGCTGGTAGCGAACGCGTTAACCGATATTAATTATGATCATCCCATAAGATTCTAAGGGAATTTTTTTTTTTTTTTTTGAAAATATCTTTTATTCATATCGACAGAAAAGGTATGCTAGTTAATTTTTTTTCTTTCTAATCTAAATTGATTGATTGCCTTTACTCACTTACTATCATTATCACTTTAACTTTCCATTTCGCTCTCTTTCCAAAGAATATGTTTCAATAAAATCCTTGAAAATTCTTCAGAAAAATGAAAAGAGAAAAAGTCATTTTGAAACAGACAGCAAAAAAATCTTAATCAAAACAGCAAATTATCTGCTCCAATCCTCTCTCTCCAATGAATTTTATACTTTTTTGCACTTGAAGTGAAATTTATTCAATTTTTTTTTTCGTTTCATCTGATCAAATGATGATGAAAGGATGATTTTTTTTGATCAAAATCGATGATAACCAAATCGAATATTGACAATTAATTAAGCTTTTTGCCTTTTTTTTTTGCTTGAAATTTGATGATTAAAAAAAAATATTCGAATAAAAAAGATATTCGAATTTGGATTTTCTTTCCAGGAATTTTCCCAATTTTCTTTGGAAAACTAAAAAAAATTCAGGAAATTTTTCATTTTTTTCAATCGGATTTTGCTTTATTTCGTAATTTTTTTTCTCTGAAAAGTATTTGGAAATATCCATCTTCAAATATCTGGGAAACATTTTTGGTTTTCGGGAATGTTAATGATACACAAACAACAACAACAACAAAAACACATTGTTTATCAAACAAACCCAAAAAGAATGTTGTTTTCGTATTTCAAATGAATGTCAATTTTCAATTGATTTGTAATCGGGTATTATATAAAAATGAAGATTTCGGGCATCTTTTTCATTGTAAAACTGTTTATAATTTTCAATCAAAAAATAGTGTGCATTAAAGAGTTGCTGATTTTCGAAGGCGATTTTGTGATTGTTCTTTTCTTTGTGAACGAAACCGAATTTTCAGTGAAAAGAAGATGAAAAAAGTACCAACCGATTCGTATGTTGATATTGAATTATTTCAAAATGATTTAAAATATATTCAACCAGAATTTTTAAGAAAAATTGAATCAATTTTTAAAATAACAACAAATTCGGAAGAAATGGGTTTCCTATTTTTGATTAACGATAATATTTATGCATATGGTAATGATATATGTGAATGGTTATCATTGCAACATGATCCAAAACAACCAAAACAAATTGATATGCTGAATGGCAAGAAAATTACTCAAAT